CTTCTTTTTTTTCCCCTTTTATAAATTTAAATTAGAAACAAATTTGTTTTACATTTTAATACCAGTTCCCTATGCTTCCCCTCCTCCCCCTCTGGCCCCCTATCCCATCCCCTTTCTGATGCCCAAGGAGGGTGAGGCCTTCCATGGGAGATCTTCAAAGTCTGCCATATCATTTGGAGCAGGACCCAGGCCCTCACCCTTGTATCTAGAATTAGAGAATATCCCTCTATGTGGAATGGGCTCCCAAAGCCATTTGTATACTAGGGATGAATATTGACCTACTACTATAGGCCCCATAGATTTCCCAGGCCTCCTAACTGATACCCACATTAAAGAGATATGGGTTGGTACTATGCTAGTTTCCCATAGTTTCCCAGCTAGCAGTCTGGGGTCCATGAGCTCCCTCTTGTTCAGGTCAGCTGTTTCAATGGGTTTCTCCAGCCTGCTTTGGACCCCATTTCTCATCACTCCTCCCTCTCTGCAACTGGATTCTAGGCGTTCAGTTCATTGTTTAGCTGTGGGTGTCTGTTTCTGCTTCCATCAGCTACTGGATGAAGGCTCTATAAGGTAGTCGTCACTCTAATTATCAGGGAAGGACATTTAAGGTACCTTCTCCACTATTGATTAGATTGATAGTTGGTATGATCCTCATAGATCTCTGGACAATTCCCTAGTGCCAGATTTCTGTTTAAACCTACAATGGCTCCCTCTATTATGGTGTCTCTTTTCTTGATCTCCTCTATTCTTCCCCCAACTCAATCTTCCTACTCCCTCATGTCCTCCTCTCCCCTCCTCTTTGCCCTTTCTCATTCTCCTGACTCCCTATCCCTTTGCCCCATACTCCCAATTTGCTCAGGAGATCATGTCTCTTTCCTCTTCTCTGGGGTCCATGTATCTCTCTCTTAGGGTCCTCTTTGCTTTCCAGTTTCTCTTGCAGTATGGATTGTAGGCTGGTAATCCTGTGCTCTATGTCTATTCATATGCATATACGAATGAGTACATACCATGTTTGTCTTTTTGTGACTAAGTTACCCCACTAAGCATGGTTTCTTCTAGTGCCTTCCATTTGCCTGTGAATATCAAGATTACATTGTTTTTTGTTTATTTCTTCCCACTGAGTAGTACTACACTGTGTAAATGTACCACATTTTCTTCATTCATTTTTCAGTTGAAGGGCATCTAGGGTGTTTCCAGGTTCTGGCTATTACAAATGATGCTGCCATTAACATAGTTGAACAGATGTCTTTGTTGTATGAATGTGCATCTTTTGGGTATATGCTTCAGAGTGGAATTGCTGGATCTTGTTGTAGACTCATTCCCATTTTCCTTAGGATCCACAATACTGATTTCCAAAGTGGCTGTACAAATTGGCACTCCCACCATCAGTGGAGGAGTGTTTCCCCTTTCTTTACATCCTCTCCAGAATAAAGTGTCATTGGTGTTTTTGATTTCAGCCATTCTGATAGGAGCAAGATAGTATCTCAGTGTTATTTTGATTTGCATTTTCCTGATGGCTAAGATATTATATAGTTTCTTCATTGCCTTTTTGCCTTTTTAGATTCCTCTATTGAGAATTATCTACTTAGTTCTATACTCTACTTGTTAATTGGATTATTTGGTGTTTTGGTGACCAGCTTCTTGAGTTCTTTGTATATTTTGGAAATCAGCCCTCTGTCAGATTTGGGGTTAGTGAACATATTTTCCCATTCTGTGAGCTGCTGTTTTATCTCATTAATTGTGTTCTTTGCCTTATGGAAGCTTCTGTTGTGACCTGGCATGTCTCAGCTCCAAGCCACAACAGCCATGAGGTTCTGCCTGAGTGGGGGTTAGGTGAACCTGGAAACTCCTAGCAACCCAGTGGTGATAAAGACCAAAAACAGCCATCTTGTCATCTTTAAAGAACTCTCAGTTCCATGTTGTCAAACTAGAGTCTCTTCTTTATTTTCCATCTTTTTGACTGTTTCTTAACCATGGTTCCATGGCCATGAGGAGATCATTTCTGTCCTCCTGTTCTCTCTGCTAGATGGCTCCTAGCTCCTGTCCTCACTTTTTACTTACACACCTTGCCCCTCTGCCCAGGTGCAGGCCTATTCAGATGCTTAGGGCCATAGGGATGCAAACTAGGAGACATTCCCCACTGAGGCCATGTCACTCAATAGCAAATCAGCTAGCATCTAATATTCAATGCATACCAGAGCTCCTGGTTCCTGGAAACCCTGGAAATGGCTCCCAACAAGCTTCTCATTTTCATGAAGTTCCATTTATTAATTGTTGATCTCAGTGTCTGTGCTACTGCTGTTATGTTCGGCAAACTATCTCCTGTACCAATTTGCTCAAGGATACTTCCCACTTTCTCTTCTAAGAGGTTTATTATGGCTAGCTTTATGTTAAGGTGTTTGATCCATTTGGACTTAACTTTTATTGGCACAAAAGTAGATAGGTAGACCAATGGAATAGAATTGAAAACCCTGATATTAACCCACACACCTATAAAGACCTGATTTTTGATAAAGAAGCTAAAATTATACCATGGAAAAAAGAAAGCATATTCAACAAATGCTGCTGACATAACTGGTTGCTGTCCTGTGGAAGACTGCAGATAGATCCATATCTATCGCCACTTTTTAAAGTGTCTAGGCTCTCCTGAACTCCCTACTTGTAGCATAATTCCTGGTATATGTAAAGTGTTGATTTTAATTTTTGAAAATGGTCAGATAATGATGTAGTAAAGAACGAAGAAAAATTAGGAACTACAATTATAATTGTTTTGGAAGAAGTCTATGGAGACAGAATCATTTAGTATTCTATGTAAATCTGAAAGAAAGTATGACTAAGTTCAATTATTAACAGTAGGGCAGCACCAGAGCCAAATAAAATATAAAGGCAGACCTATTAGAATTACACCGATTTCTCAATGGAGACTCAAGTCATACAGTCATGTAGACTCTAAGAGAACACATATGCCAGCCCAGACTTCTATACCCAGAACAGCTTTCAATCAATAGAAATGGAGAAAACAAGAATTCTATGACAAAGTCAAATTTTAAAAATGTTTACCCACAAATCCAGCCATTCAGAAGATACTAAAAGGAACCCTCCAATCCCTGAAAACACAGGAAATAAGTAATCTCACACTAGCAAAATTAAAGAAAGGGAATCACACACACACAAAATGCATACACACACATATACACACATACACACACATACACAGCCAACAATACAACAACAAAATAAAAGGAATAAACAATCATTGGTCTTTAATATCTCTCAATATCAATGCACTCAATTCCCCAATAAAATGACACAGGTTAACAGAATGGATTAAAAAACAGGATCCATCCTTCTGCTGCAAACAAGAAACACACCTTAATATCAAAAGATAGAAATTATCAAATGGTATTGCTATCCTCATACCTAACAAAATAGACTTCCAACAGAAATTAATAAAAAAGAGATGAGAAATGACACTTCATATTCATCAAAGGAAAAACCCAACAAGATAACTTCCCAATTCTTAATATCTATTCCCCAGTTGCAAGGGTACTAACATTTGTAAAAGAAACCTACTAAAGCTTAAATTATATATCAAAACTCACATATTACTAGTGGAGAAATTCGTACCCAACTCTCACCAATGAACAGGTCATTCAGACAAGAAATAAACAGAAATAATGGAAACTGGAATCCAGTTGCAGAGAAGAAGTGATGAGCAAAGGGGTCAAGACCATGTTGGTGAAACCCTCAGAAATAGCTGACCTGAACAAGGGGGATCTCTTGGCCCCCAGACTGATCACTGGGAAAGCAGCATGGAACTGATCCAGACCCGATAAATGTGGGTGTCAGTGAGGAGGCCTCAGAAATCTATGGGGCCTCTTGTAGTAGATCAGAATTTATCCCTAGTGTAGGAATGGACTTTGGGAGCCCGTTTCACATAGAGCAATACTCCCTCTGCCTAGACACACAGGAGAGGGCATAGGACCTATGCCAAAGGATATGACAGACTCTGAAGACCCCCCCACTATGGAAGGCCTTACTCTCCATGGGGATCAGACATGGTATTGGATAGGTAGGGTGTTATTGGGTTCAAGGGAGGTGGGGAGGGGGAGGGAATGGGGATTGACATGTTAAACAATCTTGTTTCTAATTTAAATAAAAATATAAAAAGGAAATAATGGAGCTAACAGAAATTATTAGCCAAATGAATATAACACATATCTATAAACATTTCACCCAATCACAAAAGAATACACAGTCTTCTCAGAAGCTCACAGAAGTTTTTCCAAAATTTACAATTTACTTGCTCAAAAAACAAGTTTCAAGAGATATAAGAAAAGTGAAATAACCCTCTGTATCCTATCAGACCACCAAAGATTAAAGCTGGATTTTAACAATAACAGAAACAACAGAAAGCCTACAAAGTCAGGGAAACTGAACAACTCTCTACTGAATGATTACTGGATTGAAGCAGAAATTAAAAAAAAGACATTAAAGACTTCCTAGAATTCAATGAAAATGAATGTGCAACATACCCAAACTTATGGGACACAATGAAAGGAATGCTAAGAGGAACGTTCATAGCACTAAGTGCATGCATAAAGAGCTTGAAGAAATCTCAGACCAGAAATCTCTAGAAAAAAATAAGCAAGTTCATCAAAGATCAGTACAGAAAATAGGAGATAATCAATTTGAGGGCTTAAATAAATAAAATAGAAGAAAAGAGAATAATATGAAGAATGAAGGAAACAAAGAGTTGGTTCTTTGAGAAGATCAACAAGATAGACAAAACTTTTATAAACTAACTAAGGACAGAGAAAGAGTATCCAAATTAACAAAGTCATAAATGAAAAGGGGGATGTAGCAGCAGACACTGATGAAATCCAAAGAATAAATCACTATTAATGGTAAACATCATATTTATGTAACACTCTTCCACACAGCTGTACGAGTTATTAAATTGATTTATGTATATCAGCTTTAGATTGATTTTCCTGTACTTAAAAAATATGGAAGGCTTCCTGAATTTTGTGGATCATCGTTTTCACAGAGGCAATGTTAATCTTCTCTGTATTGTTCCAATTTTAGAATATATGCTGCCAAAGCAAGCATGCTTACTGTGTTTGTAGCACTTATGTTCAGTCATGCTACCAAATATAAACCTAGTGTTTATATCTTAACTGCAATTAAATTTTCAGAAATATGTAACTTGAGTTTTCTGTTCGATTTTTATATATGATAAGTAAATCATGATATATTGTATAAAATTTTAAAACACACAAGTCAGTTTTTTACTTTAGTGAATGGTGAAAACCAACTCAGTAACCATAGAAACAAATCATGAATATTCCATTTCAGGGTTTTAGTGGAAATTGGAAAATTGAGTGAATTAATGGAATAGTAAAGAGGTACAGACTTAAATTAATTGCATCTTTAAGATTTTATTTCTTTGTGTTTGCCTGTGTGTGTGTGTGTGTGCGCACGTGCGTGCGTGCGTGTGTGTGTGTGTGTGTGTGTGTGTGTGTGTGTGTGTGTGTGTTTGCATGTTTGTCTGTTTTGGGATATACATGTGTGCACAGGTATGTCTCCACATGTGTGTAAATGCATGTGAAAAGCAAGAAGACAACTACTGTTGCTGTTTCTCAGGTACTAACCACCCAGGTTTTCGAGACATGGTTTCCCAATGCCTGGAAATCACCAAGTAGGCTACTCTGATTGGCCAGGGAGCCCAACCTTCCTCCTGTTTCTACTTTCCCAACCCTGGGCTGATGAGGCAAGCCTCTGTCACACTGGTTCTTTCACTTGGGTTCTGGGGTCAAATTCAGATGTGTGTGCTTTGCAGCTAGCACTTTCCCAATGATCTCTTGCCCCCTACCTTTGCATTGTTTCTTAAAACAGGCAATAAGATTCCAGCAGAAGAGGTTTGAAGAAAATAATCTGTTCAATCTTGGTGGTCAGATAAGAGAACAATTCTCTTCTTGTTTAGTTACAACCACAAGCCAGGCTCCTGGAACATCTCTTAGGCCCATTTGTGTATTTTGTTAAGCAAAAACTTATTCTGTATTAGTTGAATAAGAACAGTCACCTCAAACCCTTGAGATGCTAACTCACCTTCCTTCACCTGGATATAACACACACAGGTGACTTGTTGTAAAGGGGATACTGCTAGGTTTCTTGTTGTTCTGATACAGCTCAGGCAAGTTCATAATTTCATATGTGCTGGTACGTGACTTGCTAGGAACTGCTGGGACAGCAGGAATCAGGACTGCTTATTGGCCTCTTCTCAGATTGCTAATGCCAATTACTACTTACTCATCTGAATTTATTTTAATACCATTTTATAATTAGAACTTTAAGTAATTCATGCATGCCAAATACATCCTGTCTGACTGTGTATTAGTCACGGCTAAACATTTTTCTCTCTATAACTAAAGGCATTCAAAGGTATTATAAGTATTTGGTAAAATTTTTAAATTTGTTCATTTAATAGTGGCATGTTGGTAGGTATTTAAAAACATTAGTGCTAAGTGTTATCATATCAATGTATCATAATATAAATAATACCAATGCAAATTATATTCATATCTATGTGATACACTCAAAGTCTGAGTTGTACATTAATATGAAATTATAATTCAACTCCATGTGTTCAATGTACTGTAAAAGGTCTAATATACTCAACTTACTCCTATATAAATGCATAGAGGCATCTACATTTTTCCATTTGTGATACTAAAAGTAAATGAAATGAAATTTTCATTCATCTAGTATTTTCACTTACAAACATTAGATATTTATCTTATGCTAAGAAAATTTTTGCATGCATCTGCAGGCATCATAGGTGAAAAATGAGCTAGGAAAGAAGGAAAAGAATATATTTGAGATAGAAGTTATTAATTATCTTAATGCATGACTGATGCAAAAAGCAATAAAAATAAATTATCTTATGTCATAGCAAATATAAAATAAAGAAAAAAACTGGAAGAATTATGGTGGGTGCAGGTGAAGAATAGAGAGACGGTTGGATCATATATGTCCCTCTGGATCAAAGTAATAATACTGCCATTCTTTTACAAGTGCACAAGAATGTCAACCAAGGATTTTTACACAGGCAATAATACTAAGATATACTGCGGGTGAGGGGAGACAAAGTGTGAACAAACAAAACTCTTCTAGTTTGGCAACTCTACACAGTGCTAGAACTGGAAACAATGTAAAACAACTAGTAGAAGCTTGAGAAGCTGAAAACTATAGGAACTACAATAAGGACCAACAGAAACATTCACCAACAGATAAAGGTGTAAGAGAATGAATCAACAAAAGAAAAGTCAAGAGAAGATATCAAAACAATTTTAAAAGTTAGAGATAGAATACAAAACACGAAAATTAATTTAAAGAAATGTATGGAAGATATACAAGATGCTAACATAGAAAGATTTTGGATTCAAAGCTATAGAGGAAGTTTAAGGTTAGCTATGGTGGTTTAGCCCTCCCTCTAGTAAACTCACTGCATAAATAAAGATATATATATATATATCTAGTAAACTCACTGCATAAATAAAGATATATATATATATATATATACATATATATATATATATATATATATATATATATATAGAAACGCTGTAGAGGGGCATTGCTTAATGGTAGAGTACTAGCCTAGCATGCACAAGGCTCTAAGCTTAGTATCCAGTACTGAAAATAATGCAGGGGCATTTAACACATGTAATATATACACTTGAGGAAGAGTGTAGAAAACAGAACATTCGTGGGTAATAGTACAAACCTGTAATCTTAGCACCTGGGAGACTGAAGGAGGAGGAATGCAATCTGCAGTCTAGTGTGTGCTACAGAGCCAACCCAGCGCTAAATAGAAAAGGAAAGAAATCCAATCATCCAGGAATGCAGTCACATGACTGTAGCCCCAGTTTCCAAGAGGCTGATACGAGAGGATGGTAAATGTTATTAATTTTTAGAAATACAACTTCTTAAGAACTGGTGAGTTAAACAGATATACACACAGGGTTCACAGTAAATGAAAAACTGTCAGCATCATCAGGGATGAGGTGAAAAATACTTCTTCATACAAAGGACTACAATTCACATTTACAAAAGTGTGTCGGTAAAGAAGAGGACCAAATAGAATTCCAAGGCATTGATTCGAATATAAATTGTGACATGCTCTTTGGAAATTTCTGAATCTGTTGAAGAAAAGAATCCATCTTAACTCCTATTTGTCTACTCACATAAGCAAAGAACAAATCTATGGAAGACTTGTGTGCAGTGTTTAAAACAGTGTTGTTACAGACACAAGTTCAAGCCTCCAAATGGCTGTCAACAGGAAGAGAAAATTGCTTTTGGGAGCATTTCCAAAAAGCTAAAAATTCTTTATTCTTTGGGGCTGTGATTATTAATTTTATGCATTTGTTGTTTTCTAACACATATTTGGATTAATTCTTATACTTATAAATATTTATATCAATTTAAAAACAGTTACTGTTCATTAGTTGTTATTTTCAAACAAGTTGTTATCGTTTAGCTAATTGAATTAGAGTTAGGGGATGCTCATGAAATACATGATTTTTCATTTCAATGCCTTTTATGTTTTGTTCAAATATGTTATCTTCCATGGTGCAGGTATTCTTGGAGTGGAGGGAACAAAATCTAATTAGAGAAGCCTCCTTTTAGCAGCTCACACTAGAACTCACCGTGACTGTTCCAGATATTTTACAGAAAATCAAGAAAAAATCAAATCTGTTTTAATATCCAAAACAAATGCTTTAAACAGGCTCTGGCAGGGCCCTAATTTAAGTAAGTTTATATCACTTTAACCACAAAATTGAAGAAGGTAACATTCTGCATATTGTCTCTCAATGAAAGGTTTTGGGATTCTGAGGCTTTGTAAGTCACATGTGATTTTCTCTCACATTGTTACACTCACACTGACTGGACATTCTGATTTCACTTCCATTTGCTACAATAAAATATTCTGATAAAAAAGCAACTTTAAATAAAAAGAAGTTTATTTGATTTACAATTCCAGTTTACAGTTCATATTAGAGAAGTCAAGACAAAAACTCAAGGAGCTAGTCACATCATATCCACATTCCAAAGCTAAGAGAAATTAATACAACAATGTTTCCAACTTTCTTACTAGCTAACTTTCTTCATATTCAACAGTGGAGGTTCCGATCTAGGAAATGATTCTGCCCACAATAGGCTGAGTCTTTCTTCATCAATAAATAATCAAGACAACCATCCACAGATATGCCCATAGGCCAACTGATCAAGATAGTTCATCAACTGAAACTCTTTTCCTAGAATAATTGTCAAGTTGGTAGCCAATCTAACCATTATACATGGGGACTACTTTCTGCTGATGATATTAAAATATAAAATTTCTTCCCTTTACATTGCTAGAATTATAAGCAACTACAGATATATTCTAATACTATGCATTGCATCTTTTTAATCTCATTATAGTGGCAGCAATGGTGGAAGGAACAGATGGAGACAAAAGCAAAGTATCCCACATTGTGTTTTACATCAGCGTCTCAGGATACACTGTCTCAGGCCTTCTACCATGCTACTGAAATATTTAGCTGAGCTGCTGCTCGGTATAGAATTAGACAATCAACTGAAAAACACCAAGCATATCAGCATTTAATATATCCAAAATCATGGTTGGAGAATGAAGTCAACATTATCAGCTGAAATTCTCGAATATAATTTAAAAATTTTTCTTCTCTGCATATCTAGACTATTAAAAATTAGAAATAAAAGAAATCATTTTATAGATGTAGAGCTTCTGTGTAAAACTGTTTGATGTGATGGAAGTATTAGCATCCAAAGGCATGTTACCCTCACAACACACTGCTAAACATTGTGATTTTAAAGATATCATTAAGGCACGTGTGATTAAATGTGTACTAAGATTACTTTGATTCAAAGAGCAAGGAGTGACATTAATTATTCCATAATTTTAAAAGATTCACATAATGTGCTTAATTTTATGATTTTGATTATGACAACTTTTAAACATTAACATTTTATCTTTTCTTAATTTATCTAAATAGTGTATTTTTATTCTTGGCAAGGTTAAGTTCATC